GATTCGACCAAACGGGCCCCTCATGCGCTCATGTCGTATTGATTCGAAAGCTTTTGCGCGCGCTGGGGGTTGGGGGGGCGATCCCGGTCGAATCAGACCATGCGGGCCACTTGCGCCCGTCGGCCGCGCGCGCATGGCGAAATCTTTTCACAATCTTCATCGCCGACGCGTGGACACCATCATCGTCATCAACGCGGTCAGCATCGGCGCCGTCGTTCGCCTTGCCGTCGTCATCGTCACCGTCGCCACCAGCATCGTTGCAATCATCATCATCGTGTGTGTGTGTCGTTGCCGACGTCACCAGGATGCCGCACCCGCCCGAGCCACCGACTCGGACTGAACTCCTCTGAAGAGGGCTCTGGCTCTGGGAGGCGTTTCGGTGCGTCTTGGGGGCTTCGCGGGCCATCTGTACGCCATTTGTGGGCATCTTGGAGCGAGTGTTTCGGCGACCCTGGGCCCTCTTAGACAGTCTTCGGGGCCACTTGGTGCGCTCTTGGCCCGTTCTGGGGCCTTCTATCCCCCATGATGCGTTTGTGCTGGGCCGGGGAGGGGGGTCAAATTGCCAGTTTGGGGTTCGGGGGGGGCCTTCTAGGGGGAACAATCTCATATGCATGGAGACCCACAAGGAGTTGCTGGCCTCGTCGATATGTATACCGATCAGCCTTACAACTCATTCACCGACCCCATTATCAATGAACTTATGTGGCATCGGGAAACCCATCGGGACAACCATCGGGAAAACCATCGGATCAAACATCGTGACAACCATCGGGGCAACCATCGGGACAAATCACCGGATCAACCGCGAGACGACCGAGGGACAACCACGGGACAACCATGGGACGACCGAGGGGACAACCGAGGGGACGGGACAACCGCGGGCCACCGGCCGCCCACCAGAAAGGAGGATATTGTAGTGGCCTTCGGCCAGTGCCGCCGATCCGGGTCGCTCGGGGTTATTCTCCAGACGCAGAAATTATGGGCGCACACTCAAACGCACACACACAGTCACACCACTTAACCTGCGCCGCAGACATGCGCACACACCATCACCCACACACACATACTAGTTGGGAAACGCACCTGTAGTACTAGTAGTAGTATTAGTAGTAGTAGTAGTAGTAGTAGTAGTAGTAGTAGTAGTAGTAGCAGTAGTAGTAGTAGTAGTAGTAGTAGTAGTAGTAGTAGTAGTGGTAGTAGTAGTAGTAGTGGTTGTGGTAGTAGTGGTAGTAGTAGTAGAGGCCTCGTTCCGCGGCTTCTCTCGACTTCCCGCGGTCTCTCTCAAGTTTCGAGCACGCGGTGAGTTTCACGATATATGTGTGTGTATGTACGCGTGCATGCATGTATGCATGCATTGATCATGTGTGCCTGTGTGTAGGTACGTATGTATGTATGTATGCTTGTGCGCGTATGTATGTATTTAGTTTGTATGTATGTTTGTATGTGTGTATGATAATATGTGTGTATGTGTGTGAATGTAAGTATGTATGTCTGGAAGATTGTTTTTCTATGTATGCAAATGTGTTTAAATGTAGGTATGTATGCATGTGTGTATGGATGTGCGTTTGAAGAGCGAGGATGTTTCAAAGAAGAGGCACTCGGTGACGCGATCGTTGAGGGATAGGAGTGAGGTCGCAGAGGAGGAGGAGGAGAATGAGGAAGAGGCGATAACTTGAAGGAAAACGATGAGACGGAGGACATCCTGCCGGTGGCGCCCTGGGCGGTGCCGCGGAAGAAACCGGGGGCCTGCCGGAGGCAGTCTGGAGGCCTCTGGGGAGCTGTTTTGGGGCCTCTTGGAACCTCTTTTGGGCCTCTTGTGGGCTTCTTGGGGCCCCTTGGGGGTCTCTTGGGGCCTCCTGGGGGCCTCTTGGGGCGGAAAGCTCGGTTCTTTCGGTTCGTGGTCCCCCTCTTGGGCCCCTCTTGGGGCTCTCTTGGGGCCTTCTTGGGCTGTCCAGAGGCCCTCTTGGGCCGTCTTGGGGCCCTCTTGGGCCGTCTTGGGGCTCTCTTGGGCCGTGTTGGAAGCATCGTGGGCCGTCTTGGGACGGACTTGGGGGCCTCTTGGGCCGTCTTCGAGCGTCGGACGCCCGAAAAGGCAAGAACGCTAAAAACCCTGAGAAAACCAATGAAAATCAACGATTCTGGCCTCTTGGGGCCCTCTTGGGAGGCCTCTTGGAAGCTTCTTGGGGCGTCTTGGAGACACCTTGGGCCGTCTGGAGGCCATCTCGGGCGTCTTGGAGCGATTTTTCGGCGACTCGGGGCCCTCTTGGAACCCCTTGGGGGTCTTGGGACAAAGCGCCGGAAAATCATGGCGCCCCCCCCCCCCCTATCTTCCACTCCCCCGGAGCGGCCCCGGGGTCCTCCAAAGCGCCGGCGCATGGCGCCCCCCCCCCCCCTATCTTCCACTCCCCCGGAGCGGCCCCGGGGTTCGCCGGAAACTCGCACCCCCCCCCCCCCCCCCACCCCCCCTTCCCCGGCAGAGCCACCCCGGCGACCCCCCCAGAGGCTGAAGCTCAGCCTCGAGGCTGTAGCTGAGACTCCTTGAAACTCACACGCCGGATCGGCGGATTTTTACGATCGTTTTGCCTGACCAGCGGCTGGATCACTCCTCCCGCCCGCGCACGCAGGTTGGTCTCACCCGCACGCACGGCACGACCACAAAACCGGAAACGATGTCCTGGTAAGAGCCCCCAGCCTCTGATCTACGCATGTTTGGACAGATGTGGTCTCTGGCTTGGATTGGGAAGGCCTTGCGGCCCCTGCCGCCGACCCTGAAGGGGGAAACCGACCACGACGGCGGCGTCGGCGGCGACGACGACGCTAACGTGGGGCAGGGTCCTCAGTGATGCTTCGTGGGGTCTTTCGGAGCGCGCTCGTAGGCCTCTGGGGGGCAGCTTTGGGGCCTCGTGGGAGCATCTTGGGAGCCTCATAGAAGCATGTTGGGGGGTCATTGCGGGCGTCCTGGGAGCCTCTTGGAGGCCTCTTGGGGCCTCGTGGGGGCCTCGTGGGGGCCTCTCTTCTCGCGCCCGAGGGCTCGGAATGCTCGTTCGGACCCTCTTGGAGCCGTTTTGGGGGCTTCTCGGGCCGTCTGGGAGGCCTCTAGGACCGTCTTAGGGCCCTCTTGAGTCGTTTTCTGGCCGTCATGGAAACCTCTTTGGGGCCTCCGTTGCCGATCTTGGTGGCATCTTGTGCCGTCCCAGAGGTTTCCAAAAGCCTTAAGGCAAACCTTTTCATGTTTGCCTGTTGGGACCCTCATCATTGTGTGCTCTTGGAGGTCTATTCGAGCGTCTTGGAAGCCGCTTGGGCTGCCAGGAGACCGTATTTGGCGTCTGGTGCCTTCTTGGGCCCCAGGACCCCCCGTGGACCGGTGCAAGGATTGTATTCTGAACGCAGGACCCCCCCGAGACCCCCCCAGGAGGCCCCCCCAAAACACTCCACCCCTGGGGGGAAGGGATCAAAGAGGTGAAGGGGCTTCCATTCGACTCAATCACGACGTTGTTCAATTTTGCTTTGCTTTCGCTTTGGCTGGCACGCTTGAGGAGGAGGGCCCAGTGAAAGGGGGCAGCGGCGACGGGCCCAGGGAAAGAGGGTCAAACGCGACGGCGACGACGACCATGTGGCCCCTCGCTTGGATTTTGGCTCCGATTTCTTCATGGGGGTGCTGCCCCTCTGAACTTCAAGGGGGGCCGCCAAGTGCAGCACCCACACATCAAACCATGCAGAAAGAAGCCTCAAGATACCACCGGACTTCCGTCAGTTTGCCCACGAGAGGCCCAACGCCAGCAAACGGCCGGCCCAAAGCCACACCAGCAGACCCCCAAACCCCGATATTCACCGAAACGATCGTTTGACTCTACCAGCGACTCCAACACTCCCCCTTGTCCTCGTCCCCAGCCATACCTTCTTTTTCACTACGTGGGCCCATCCTTGGGACACGTCCTTCGCCACGGATACCTTTTTGATAGCACTGAAGGTCGAAATGGATTTTCAGAGGCAAAATTTTGAGCAACAAACGGCAGTCTTGTTTGCCGGCACCAGAGGCACCCGAGGACCTTCACTGGAGTGCGATTTGGCATGGATTTCCAGGCTTAGCCAGCCAGGGCTACGAGGGGGTCCCGAAAGTTCAACAACCTCGACCTCATAGATCCTCGCTTTCGGCTGGACCTCGTCTTGAGGTGGGTGCTGCTCAGAACTTTTCAGGGGAGTCCAGCTGTGGCAGCGAGGACCCTCCGGGAGGCCCCCCACAACGGGTGCAATCCCCTTAACCGCAGCCGGTGTGGCTCCAAGCTCGCCGCCCCTCAGGGGGATCCGCAGAAGGCACTTATGCACCAACACCGTGCCTGGCCAGCACCATCCTGGACCCCGGATGGTGTGCAGACCCTCCTGGCCTCTGCCATAGGAGCTTACACACCATGCCAGGTCACAAGATGAGCCCTGGCAAGGCATAGTGGTCTCAGACTTCCGATGCATGTGTTTTTCAAGAGTGCTACAGAAGTCCGCGGGCTCCAGAGGTCTCGACCCCTTCTCCCAGGCACGGGCTTTCGTCCCAGCTCCATGTTTGGTGGCCCCAGGGACCAGAAATGGCCCCCTGAGGCCGAAACATCATCGCTGGGGCTGGAAACATTCATCCTGCTGGAGGTCGTGGCACGATGGTGGTGCACAGGTGCCTTCTGCGTGCGGCAGGTTCACGCTGCGTTGACGCGGCGACGACCCGGGCGCGTTCGTCTCAGGTTGAACGCCGATATCGAGCAATCTGGCTTCTTACCGGGATGCCGCGATCGTTCGAGGCTGAACGATCCACGCGGTGACGGGATTCAACGTCCACGTCCACACGACAGGAACCAGCCGCAGGCCGGCTGCACGTAAGGGTGGCCCCCCGCCAGAGTGACCCTTGGTGCGCGGCCTTCGGGGGGCGCCGGGGGCTGCTGCACCGCGTGCGACCGTCCGCACGCCGCGCGCCTCGGGGCCCCACTCCTCGCCCGGGGGCCACGCCTTGCGCGCAGCCGCGTCGGGGAGCGGCGGAGCGCCCTCGCGAGCACCGGCGCTGGCCATGCCCTGGGCGGCCGCACGCGCACGGGCGCCGGCGGCCGCGCCGGCGGCCGCGCCAGCGCCACGCGGGGGCCCGTCGCAGCGGGCAGCGCCGCGGGCGACGCGCGGCGGCCCGCTGGGCGCCGTCGCGGCGTCTGCAGCGCGGTGGGGGGTCGGGGAACCTGGGAGGGGCCCATGCTTTTGTGATGAGGCGGATTCGGGGGGGCATTTTTCGGCCGAGGTGCACTGAACTGACTGACTGACTGACCGACTGAGTGACTCAATGACTGATTCACTGGTCGCGACTATCAGGCGGCCGTTTTGTTCTCGGTCGCCAGGTGCGACACCTATGGCGCAATCAATCGTGGGGCGTTTTTTGACTGCAGAGTCTGCACCCTCTGGCGCAACCAGAAGCAGGCCATTTTCTTCTCGGCTGCCGAGAGCGCCACTTGTGGCGCAAGCAATAGCAGGCTTGCGTCTGCTCGGTTAGCAGAGTGCTCAGCCTAAGACGCAGCATACGGCGCTCCTTGCGGATGGCGCAGCAAATGGCGCAACCCAGGGATCCACCAACCCATGGCGAAATTTATGGCGCAACCCATGGTGCACCTTGTGGCGCATCCCATGGATGGAGCATGGTGCAAGCGCAGCACGTGCATGGTCAACCTATGGCGCATTCCACCATGGCGTAACCTATAGATCGTGCAACCCATGGCGCGCCACAAGGATGGCACACACCTTTGTCAATGCTTACGAGGCTACGCCGGATTTTTGCTCGCCGTTGGGCTGGTGGTTCGGGCCGAAGCGGCGAGCTGTCTTGTGATTCAACCTCTGGGACGCTCCTCGTCGACAATGACCAGAATTTTTTATGCTTCGTGTATCACCGCAAGCTCGTCCACCGGCAGTACACAGCCGACGGCTGGTGATAGCGTACTGGCCCACGTGACGTTCCCCCCTTGTACATTGGTGTTCCACCCGACTGGGCGTCTGGTCCGCTGGAGTCTGGCTCTGTGATGCCAGCTTCGAGCACATGAGGTGCTCCGTGAGTGAGGCCTTGCCCCCATTCTACTCGCCTTCGCTGCACGTTCACGGGCGGGCGTGCCAGGGTTGCAGTTGCCCGCTGTGCCCTGCCCTTCGCCGTCCGGTCTGCCGGGTGCTGGCGCCACTGTGCGACGCCCCGCTGTCAGTCGTTGGCTGCCGCTTTGGAGCGGCTTATTGAGGTTCATTTAATTCCTAGCATGTGCATTCTGGCGTTGGCTTTTGGCCCGCTGGCAATTATCTTGCTTGTTGCCCCAAGCTAGTTCGACCCACTCTCTGGAATCTTCCTTGGAGCCGCAAATCAAAAAAATATCACCGCAAGCCTGGTGGAAACTCTGGCTGCGCAAGACCAGAAAGACCAGCCCCGGCTCCCTGCTGGCCGGCGCAGCCAAGAACCCTAGCCCCACTCGGCCTACCGGCCCACTGGCCGCTTGGCTCGCCGATAATGGATGGGACGGGGAGGACATGGACAGCAGGCATGCGAATCTGTGGCCCAAACGGAAAGACGCCTTAGCGCAAAGACGCCTCAACACCCTCGCCTCGCAGGAGCGGGCCAAGCACTCGTTGCGCACTGCCGTACAGGACGCGAGATCAATCAGAAAATGCACAACGTCAAGAGCGTGCGTGACAGCGAAAGAGTTTGGCATGAGCAGCTGAAAGAAATGGATAGGATCCTTTGGGCCAGCACGATCAACATCTGGCAGAGCTCGTTGCCCGTACCAGGCTCTGCTGACGCCTTCTTGGACTTCTACTTCAGTACCGGTAGGTCCATAACTCTCGACGAACGACCGCATTCCATCTGGGGCAGCATCGCTTCTCTAGTTTTGGTTCCTGCCCGAAGCGCTCCGGGCATGGACAGAAAACCGCGCAAGGTTTACCACAGCGGAGTTCGTTTCGTCGCGCGTCTCCTTGCCCAGGCCTGGTACACTGCCTATCTCGACCTGGCAAAGATCGCACGCATCCTGGGGCCGTCGGTCGGCATCCTGGGGCTCGTAAGAAATCTGGCACTGAAACCCCCAACGACCTGCGCCCCCTTCAGCTCCCAACTTGCATGTGGCGACTACGGTACCACCCTGGCTGACATACTGGGTCCCAAATTGAGCCACCTCTTTGAGCAACGACCAGGCCGCCAAGAAAGGCGGACAATGTGGTCCCAACATCCGGGCTGCCACCACCCACCTTGGGAACGTCCCAGTGGACCCTGGGGAACCTGGGCCGGCCTGGAGCGCCCGACAAGGACGACACCTCGCTTGCGTGGAGCGATACATTCGCAACGTCTCCGAAAGTATGCCTGGTGCCCCCGCTAGATCGGGTATCTTTCGCGACCAAACCATGGCGTTTGAGCGCATCTCCATGCGGTGGATCAGTCGCCTACTCGGGAGATGGGGGCTACCTCCCTGGCTCCAGCTGTCGCTCCACGCTCTATTTGCAGACCGATGGGCGCAAACACCCAAAGGCAGGTACAAAGGGCCACGGCGGCGTCTGCTTCGCTCAGTCGGCATGGGCGGCACGGCCTCCCCCCCCCCTCTTGGTGCATCCGGTATTAACCCATCATCACTGCAATTTCAAATATCAGCAAGGATCGCTGCCCTTGAGGCTGCTGGCCTCCTCGTCGACGTCCATAGGTGTCAGTGTGTGCTCATCACTGGCAGGGGGCCTAGGCTAGCCGCCCTTCTCGCTGAGCTCCCTGTTGACTACACGACGGACGGCGACGTTCACCCTGTCACTGGTCTTCCTTCTGCCTTGTTGTGCGCCCTGGTGCGCGACAGCCTATAGGATGATAAGTTCACATGTGCCGAATGGTCCTGCCACTGCTCATGCAGTTTTAAGATTGCCATGGTACCCGCAGGGGACCTCCCCTGGTGGCGCACGCTTTTGGGCCACAGTTCGTTTTACAGCAGCTGCGTGAAAACGAGCTGGCCCTATCTAGGCGCTTGTATCGCGTCACGCGCCGGTGACGGCCCACCGACGCCCGGGGGCAGGTTCACCCAGCCCCAACCGGTCATCCTGCTGCAGGGGACCTGGTGCAAGCCGCTACCAAAGTTTAAAGATCGAGCCATTACACTGCCAACCTCTCACCCACGAGGACCGCGGCTGCCTGGAATGCTTACCTGGCCTCGCCGATTCTTTACCCAGCTCACTTCTTCGCCCCAGATATCCACAAGGAGCGCGCCCTCCGCTCACAGCTTCGGGTGTTGCTGGGGCTCGCCGGGGCCTCGTGGATACACGAGTGCGTATTACAAGGCCTTGGCATTTTCTTCCAGGTCCCAGGCTGCCCAAGGTGTCCCGCCGCCGCTGCCAGAGCTGTCGCGACGCGCGCGCGCGCACTCGACGACGTCTGGGGCCCGTGGCCCGCCGTCCTGAGAGTATGGCTAAGTTGGGATAGGATCTGCTGGTGGGCCTCCACACACATCATTCACCACGAGGTCCCTAGGCCTGGCTCTTCGGTCATCACCTGCGACAAGGCCGCTTCGATGCTCAAGCAGATTGCTGATCGCCCCGCTGACCTAATGAGCAAGAACGCCACCAGAGCAGTCTACGTGGGTGCCTGGCGCCAGCTACATGAGCATTCGGCAGGTGTGGAATGGAACCTACTGAGACACGTCCCATCATGCACGGCCGCCACCCACGTGCTACGCTTTCTTGCCAACGGGATGCCTGGCTCGGCACGCCGGAGACGGGTGGCTGACCGACTCGCGCACCAGTGCCACATCTGCATGGGGCAAGCCCATCGTGTCAGGCATACCGTAGACGCACAGAACGCCGGCCTTGCCTGGTGCCATACCTGCTTGGGTGACTGGGCGCGCTCCATCCCGCTCTGGGCATGAGACCTGGCTCACAACTTCCCGAAGGACTACGCGCAGCGGCTCGTGATCAGACAAGACAGGCCCCCTGACCTGGCACCCCCGCCGAACCACGGACAGCGCGAAGTCTGCCATCGCTGTGGAGAAGGGGGGGCCACCGCTGAGCACCTTTGGACCTGGTGTTCGGCGGTTGCGCGGTCCTGGACTAGGGCGCGCCTGGACGGCGCCCCCCTTGGCCCTCGGCCTGGGGGCCGCCGCCTTCCGCGGTGAGTGTTGCGCTCGGTTCATCTTTCGCCGCCTTCGTGCACTCCTGCCTCGTCTTCTCCATCGGCACATTCCCCGCATTCCTGGTGCAGTGCGTCGCCGCGGCGCCATTTTAGCCGCCTCAGTTCCGCCCCGCACCTGGCGTTGCTCTTTGCTTGTTTCCCGCACCTGGTGGCGCAGCCTGCCCCTGCTTGCCCGGCGCCCAGCCCGTTCCGCGCGCCCGCGCACCAAAAAGTATCACCACAAACCTCTCTTCCACGCCGTACCTGCGTCGCGAATTGGCATCAGTGGGCGCGCCCTGCGTCACCTGGTACCGCAGTTTGGATCGACGTGACCATGACGCTGATTCGCGATGTTTCCCGCGCCATTTTGGTCGCGTTGTGCCCAGTCCCGCGCTGAGCCGGGCGCCGCTCGTTTCGCCGTTTTCCCCTTTGCTTCGGCGCGGCCCGCCTGAGCTTGCACGCCGTTCGACTCCTCTTCGCGCGCCCGCGTATCAAAAGTACCACCGCGAGCCCATCCCAGAAACCATGCCCGGGCGCTTTGTTTTGATGAGGGAAGTGCAGGAACAAGCAGGGCTACAAAGATCGGGCCTGCCGTCAAACCGAAGCTCGGGATCAGCCTGAGCCAACCCAGGAGTGCGGGCATTTCGATATGGGAGCCTATCGAAAGCAGATTTGGGCCTTATTTGGACCCTCTCGGGGCGTTTTTGGGGGCCATTGGGGCTTGCTTGCTGCCCTCTGGTTGCTCTCTCGGGCTCTCTTCAAGGTCTTCGGAACTTTCGTGGGCAGATCCAGGACGCCATCGACTGGTAAAAGGAGCATCGTCAATTTGCCAGCCCCTCCGAAGCCCGACTCTGTGCCGAAGGGCGAGGAGCCGACATCCAGGAGGAGAGGGGGACTGCGCGGAGGGGTGAGTGGGAGGAGGAAACAGAGGAGGGCAGAATTGAGTTGAAAATGGAGGACGGGGGTGGAAAGGGCAGCATGGTGGCGGAGGAGGGTGAGGGTGGACGGAGGTGGAAAGATGAAGGGTGGACGGATGATGAAGGATGGAGAGAAGAGAAAGGGACAGTTGACAAGGAGGATGGAAGAAATTGGCGGAAGGACCAGGGAGGCGTAGGAGGAGGAGGAGGAGGAGGAGGAGGAGGAGCCTGACAGGTATGTGGAGAAGGAGGAGGAGGAGGAAGGAACGAGGAGGGTGGAGCGATGAGGAGGAGAGGGATGGATGGTCGAAGGGTGAGGAGCGAGGACCCAAGGGGAGGGAGGAAGCGAGGAGGGAGAGAGGGTGGAACTGCTCTGGGCAGGCACCCCTGCCGGCAGCCATGCATGCGCCAGCGCAGGGCGCGGCCCTGCGCGCCACGGGGCTCAGCATAAGCAGTCCCAAACAGGACGCGCTCCCGCTGTCGACCATGTCCAGGCTTGGGGGGCCAGGGGAGAAAAGCAAGTTGCTGCGACCGCTATCGAACCCTAGCCCTGCGGGTTCAGTCCGCGCTGTCGTTTCGAACACCCCTGCTGGGGTTTACAAGCTGCAGGCATTATTCGAGTTCTCAACCCCTTCCGGTTTTTCAGACAACGGACCTGCAGGGGTAGGGTTCAGAATATGTGGTTGCTGTGACATACCGATGCCGAAGCCTCTCCGTCGTCTTCGCTTGATTCGCGCCGGGATGCTGGCCGGGCCGCTCCCCAGGATAGATCTGGGGAGCAGCGGTGTCGGTGAGGCCGGATCGCATACCCCAGATCATGCGTGCCCTGGCAAGGGCCTTCGGGGCCCGTCGCGGGGCCAGGTCGGCACACGCCGTCGCTGGAAAGTGGCCCCCGAGACGCTTCACCAGGGACGCTTCGCCCTGGCGGGACGCTCCTCGAGGAGCATCAGAACAAGATACACATGTTTGCCAGCGTTGGCCCCAAGCGCACATTCGATATTCAAGCTGTGTGGTGCAACCTGTAGAGAGCAATTAATTGTGGGAGAGCTTGAAGTCGTCAACTCCACTGCTCGTGCAAACATGCTACCGACCCTCTCGCAAGATGTTGTCAATCAGTACTCAGGAGCCGCACCTGAAACAATTGTCTTGCACTTCCGCATCGCAGTAACGTCGCTGTGTGGGGTCACCGCTGGACAGCAATGCGTATTAGATGAGCGATCGTGTATACCCGATGTGCGACCATAGCGTGTTGTTGGGCCGTTCACCCTTGCCCGGCCTCGGAGGGCGGGGTTATTGTTTTTGTCCTTCACACACTCCTGAAAACAAGTTTGACGACAGCTGCCTGGTCGTGGGGCGACTTTTCACGCAGCGGCGCCCCCCTTCCCCCGTGCAATGTTGCATTGAAGCCCGTCATGAATTAATTCTGGATGTGAAGCGGGGGGCGGGGGGGGGCTGATTCGTCAATTGATCTTCAGAAGGTTGAGGGTTTTACAATTTGTTTTACCGGTGCTGGAACTGGCGACCCCCATGCTCCAGCAAGTTTCTCACCCTCCCACCCGCCGCATGTGGGCAATAACCAAGTGGGAGGCGACAGTGACGATGAAGAGCGCGCAAGGCGCGCCAGTGGCTGCGCTGGAGTTGCCGCCAGAGGGTGGCGCCGACCCAACAAACCTTTGTGGATTTCCGACTTGCTATAATCTATGCAGTTTTTGTTGTTCTTCTAGTTTGGATCCTCCCGCGGCGTGTCTTGACCCATTTCTGGGGACCCGGTTCCCTTTTTCACGGCCCCCAGGCCCATGTGGGCCCACAGGGGTCAAACATTGTTCTAATATTTCCGCCGTGCGTTTTCACCACGCGAGGGGATCTGGGGACGTTCAAGCCCCCCCCCCCCGCAGGCACACCAGCGACTCCACGGCCTCCTCGCCGAACTCGTCCTCCGTCAGGCTGGGGCGGCGCAGGACAGAGCCCGCGGACCTGGCGGCAGCCTGCGAGGGCGCCTTCAGATCCGGGAGCCCGAGTGCCCTGCTCGACAAGGCGGCGGCAGGACCCAGGGCGGATCCATGAAGGGAAGGGGGTCCTGAGAGGGGGAGTGGGGTGCGGATGTGCCTCGCCGTTTTTCGGCCTCCCAGCGCTGGCCTGACACCGTCAAAAACGGAGGCCAGGCCATTGTGGAGCATGCGTTCTGCCACACGAGACTTGGCGCTTTCACGCTTCAGATCCGTTCTCATCGATTTCCTCCTACTTCCTCTTCCTCCAGTATCGAGCACATCTTATGAGATATTTGGGGTTATGCTGGCAGTCTGAGGGTACCCTAGAGGACGGCCGGTTGACAGGAAACACATGACCCCACGAGCAAGTCCATGGAGTCCCAGCCCATTGCCAACAGGCGTGGGGTCGGGATATCGATAACAATGCTCGGGGGGGGGGACCACTCTCTCTTTCACTTTGCGCTCGCAGCACCGAGGACCCCCGCAGGAAGGGTCCCGAATTATAGCAAGGAATCCTCACGGCTACTTATTTTTTTTAAGATTACTGACTAATGATGTTTTCAGTAAGGGATCCTCAGTAAGGAGTCCTTCAGAATGAAGTCGTCTGGTTGCTCACTCACGCAGCCACGACACAGAGGAGGGAAACGGCAGGAAGAAATGGTTGTTCTCTCTCTCTCTCTCTCTATGTCTTCTTTATGTGTTTATGTTTCCTCTCTCTCTCTCTCTCTGGCTCCGCCCCTTTTCACATTCACGCAGGGCTCAACCAATGAAGTACCAATATGAGGCCATGCGAACGCCTCCAGTGGGACCATTGCTGGAGATCCTTTGTACAGATGCTTGTGACAAGGATTCTGAGTAGATATTGAGGGTTCCTTAATACGGTTTTATGTTACCCACATTCATGAGTAAGGACATCTGTATGCAGGAGCCCTACATAAGGATCCTTTTACTCAGGAATCCTAAGTGAAGGCGCCTTTGGTACGCATTCGTCGGCGAGGGTGCTTCTGCCAAGGAAACCGCAGT